ATTTGCGCCTTTTAAATTCCATTTTAGTTGTTGCGGGGTAGTTGATTGTAGTTCATTGCTTATTATGATAGGGTAGTGATCACTATCATATAGATCTGGTAACACATCCCATGTAAGAGTATGTGTAATTGATGGTTCGCAAATACTTAGATCTATACTAGAGCCTTCACCTGTTCTTATTTCAAAGCGCGTATGTTGTCCGTCGTTAAGAATATTTAGATTGATTTCTTCTATTATTTTTTCTATTTTTCGACCTAGAGATGTTAGTTTTGTTGAACCCCATAACGGATTATGTGCATTGAAATCTCCAATTATTATCCGTGGAGCAGGTAGTTGATTTAATAGGTTTGAAATTTCTTTTGAATCGGGTTCTTTATTGGGGGGAATGTAAATATTGCAAATTGAAAAAGAAATTGTGTCTGTGACTCTAATTCCAATTGCTTCGATAGTTGTTCTAAGTTTTATTGGTTTAGCGTCAAAGCTATCTTTTATGTAGATTGCTACTTCTCCGCTTGCAATTTTCGAATTTTTTCGATTTCTAAAAAAACAATTGAAATTCTTTAAGTCATGAGCTTTGTTGTTTTTGAAGTGGGTTTCTTGTAAACATATCAGACTAGGCTTATGTTTTGAAATTAATAATTTTAACATTTCTAAATGGGTATAATACCCATTTATGTTCCATTGAATTAGAGAGTTGAAAATGATGTGTTATTAATTTTCTGTTGATGTGTCGCTTTCTAAGTCTGTTTGGATGTCTAAGTTGATTTGTTTTAATATTTTATTTTTTATTCGAGTGCATTTGACTTTAATTTGTAGGTCCTTTAGGTAAGGATATATATTAGTTAATAGATCTGTGACCTCTGCTGTTTCTTCTATATACATTTTGGCGATACTTAACGGGTCTGATGAGTTCTCACAATTTTCAATAAAGTCTAATAACTGTTCGTACGTTATAGGGTAGTTAGAATTTGGGTTCTCAAATAAAGTTTTACAGTATCTTAGCATTTCTTCTAGTGTTTTTTGTGGTTTGACATTTTGATCTGATTTTACTTTCTTCTCTTTATATTTTGGTGTAATAAAGGTAGGTTCCTCTTTAGATGTAGTAGCTGGTGGAGAGATTTGGGAGATTGTGCGTTTGTTTTGTGCTTTGCCTGTGTTTATATGCGTTGTCTTATTTTCTAGATCTATTTTTGGCTCGTTTGTTGTTTCTAAATCTTCTTTGGCTGGTTGCATGTGTAGTTTTTCTTGTTGGGTAGTTTGTGGTTGGAATTCTTGTTGTGTGCTTTCTTCTTTTGATTGTTGTTGTTTAGTGTTTGTCTGGGTTTTTTGAGTTGATAGATTAGTTGTATTTTCAATTGGGTCTATATTTGGAACTGCATTATTTGATGTTGAATTATCTGTTGTAATCGCAGTAGACATTGGACAATTTTTTGTTAAGTGGTTGTTTTGTTTACATGTTTGGCAAGCTTGGTTATCTAATGAAAGGAAAATCCTGTATGTCGTTTCCTCATGTGTGATAAGAAAAGAATCAGATAAGAACTGGTTATTTAGTGGAGATAAGTATATTTGACGTCTGAAACTCAAAATATGCTGGAATTGTGGTGTTGATGTGCCTATTCTTAAAAATGTTAAAGGTGACAGAAGATTTAATCCATGTGATTTTAATGCTGATACTAGGGCTGAGTGTGAGATTGAGGGACAGACATTGGACAATACTAATCGCTGACTGGGGCTAATTAGTCTACGAGGTTGTAAAAGCTGCTGGCCTATTTGAATTTTTTCATTTCTGTTTATAAAATCCTCAGCTAGTTTTTCGTTTGCTAAATAAATACATACTCTATTATTTGATAATTTCGAACAGAAGATGATCTGGGTTGGTTCTATCAGACGACTCGGAGCGAACAAGTAATCATCTAGTTTGGTATTTTCAACTGAATCAAAAATAATTGCTTGTTTTCTTGATGGAAATATATTGGATTGTGGTGTTTGATTTGTTACGGAAGAATATGTACGTGATCCATTAAATTGATATGATAATGTGCTGTTTGGTGTATTAGTAGTTGCAGGAATTTCGGATTGAATAGAACTATCCATTTTTAATTATCATTGGTAAATGGAGTACGATCCTGGCAAACAACCTTCTTAGTCTATAGTAGAACAGGTTTGGTATAAATACCTGTCCTAGATTTTGTAGGTTATCCGAAATAATATTTGATAATATGTAGTAAAAACTCCTATGATTAAAGTAACTTACTATCTCTATTGTATTTATGTTGGATATTTCACTGCTGGATCACTAATTAATGAAAATATTTTTAGTATTTCACTACTTTTTAAATTCAATTTAAGAGCTCGATTTTAAAACACGTATTAGGTACTATGTTCAGAGTCGAATCGCCTAATATTTTTAATTAAATTTTACCATTTGATCTCTTTTAACATGAAATATGATTGTCACTTATTCCAAATTGTTTTCAAACCACGGATATAATTTTAAAATCTACCTACTGCTATGTTACTGCAGTTGCTTCTTGTGTAGAGAAGATAATTACATTGTTTACAACAATAATAAATTATTTAAATTTTTGGTATATTAAATATATTTTTTAAATTCATTCTGTGTTTTTTCCCAGCGCAAACCCTTGTATATACTTGATGAAACCCTATTTACTTTTTGAAAAGTTTATTAATGTTATAAAATTTATATAAATTTACACATTCTTTAAGTACTCACTATGGCAATTTAATAGAAAGGTTTTCACAGAATGTTAAATTACAACTAAAAGTCCTTATTCACTACTTAAACTAGGAGAAAACGAATATCTTTAGTCTTTTACTGGATAGAATCACCTTTGGAATCACTGACACCTAAAAAGAATAAAACATTAATTTAAATATTTTTCAATTTCGTAAATAAATTCAATGATTTATATTATAAAATTACCCTGATAAAATAGCAACAAAAAACATTGAAATAAAGAAAAAAATAATTAAAGTATTAAGTGGTATTAATCTAATACAATATAACCTCAAAATATGAAATTTGACGGTAAATATCTTAATACCTTGATACTCTTACCTTACAAATTCACGAACAACTTATAAAACCAATCGCACAGAATGGATATATGGAAGCTAAAATCCATATTTATTCTTTTAAATATTAAAAAATCAACTTTTCCAACGTCTTATGGGCGTCTTATGAGAGAAACACATGTAAACGAGATTTGTTTGGAAAGGTCTTCTAAGCCCCGCCAATTGTGACGTCAGACTTAGGTAGTCCATTGCAATAGTATGAATACGGATTATTTATTTAAACAGTGAATTTATTACATGTTCATTTTATTAGAACTGCTCTGACGTATCGTATAATGTAGGTTTACACAATAATCAAAGTTATACATTTACAAGAACATATTATTTGAAAAATAAGGAGTAAATACCATGTGTCATAATAATTGTAATCTCCTTTATACACAATTTAACAATTTGTTTAATAATGTATTTCTTAAATCCACACAATCATTAAAAATGATTCATGCTGTTAACGACACTGTCATCGACAAAGTATATCAAATTCAAACGTCATTATATATCCCTTCTGTTTATCGTTAAAAATTATTTGATGGTCGTGGGTTGTAATGGTAATATATAATAATCTAACAAAATACATAATCAGCAAAAATCTTATTTAAAACATGCGAACGGATTTTGCAATCACAATAAATGCAGTGTTTATGCCTGTTTAGCATTGGCTGTTCAATAATTTGTGTTGTACAACTCTCTTCCTTTTTAGGGTGTAGTAGTTGTCTATAAGTACCTATTTTTTATAGTAGTGTAGTAAAGCGATACTTTAAACCAAAATGAGTAATTTGGAAGAAAATAAAATACAGTCGAAACGTAGTGTTATCTCCAGAAGAACGGCGTTTAGTTCTAAAAGTCGAAAGTTATTTCAATGTGAAAAAAAATAATAGGGGTCCATTGACATCTGTGTTGACACTTCAAAAACGCACATGCGATACTTCCGGTATCTCAGAGAGGGCATTCCGAAGAATTATTAACATAAGTGAGGATGAAATAAGTAAAGTAAGTAAAAGAAATCGTCGACATCCAAAAACTTTAGATTTGCACCAGTCAATTAAATTTGCCATTAAAAATATTATATTTAAATCGTATAAAGTCAAACAACATGTAACAGTTAGTGCTGTGTTACAAAAAATAAAAGACAAGGAACTGTGTGATATTAGTTTAACAAGTTTGTGGAGAGTGCTGAAATATTTAGGTTTTCGATATAAAAGACAAATAATAGACAAGTATTGTCTGAATTCTCTAATGTTGTTTTAAAACGGTGGCATTTTTTAAGAAAATACATGACCAATAAAACGTCTGATATTTCGAGGCAAGTTGTATTTTTAGATGAAACTTGGATTTTCGGTAAAGGAAATATGTCAAAATCATCCTGGCAAGATGGCAACATGAAATGTTATTCTTCTAGTCGTTATGGTGATTATTCTATCGATACCACAGTAATTTATTTCACAGATTTCTTCACAGAATTATCAATATATGTTGAAAATCTCACCCAATCAGCCTTTTCTGTTTTCCATTTTAAGACAAAGATGTCCGGTAGGGTGTTAGTATTGCAGATTTTTATGGGGTAATGGTCGCTGCCGTAGGTGAACGACAACACTTCCCAGGATAAGTAAGGAGTTAAATTGGATCACAGCGACTTATGTCAACTGCCTAGTATTCTTATTGTTATTCTTGAAGACTAAATTTAAACCCTGATTTTAAACAATCTAAACTCCATTATAATGTGGTTGCTGATATATTATTAAACATTTTGTTTAAATTCGCGAAGTTAAAATTAATTTTCATTAGTTCATATAGCTATGTTTAGTTATTGTTGTTTTATTTATGTAGTGTAACGATTGAAATAGCCAAAGAAAATCACTACGAGAAAAAAAATAGATAAAAAATATTTGTCAAAAATGTTTCAGCTTGCTTCAAATGTTCACGAGAAACAAATAAAACAGTTATGCTCGACAATTTCTAATGGTTTGATGGCTGTACAACTGTATGAAAATTCTATTTCCAATACGAAGAGTTTATATTCTTCGTTTGTTATGTTATGTGATAAAGAAGTCGTAGGAATTGCCAGTAAGTATTTAAATAAATTAATATTCAAAAATTGGGTCTACCTAAATTATATCTGAGTCCAACTAATAGCTTTTACTTAACCTAATAGAACTATTAAATAATTTATGGATTCGACCGCAACTTGATGGAAATTCATTTTATGTAACAATAAAACACTGAAAAGTTTGTTTTTAAACTTTCACAAAATTTATTTTAACTTCTTATCACTACAGCTGTTTCGGCTGATTGCCTTTCTCAAGTGATCTATTTGTGGCATGCGTTTACACTTTATAGTCTCTAATGAAATAGGTTGAGGAGGGAAGAACTGTTTGTCTCAAGTTGGTCAGCCTTTATTTTGAATGTGAAGAATTTTAAATTCGTCATTAAAAGAATGATTGTGAACTAGAAGGTGAAGTGCGTATGTTGAATCTGTTTTTCTATTACTGAAAGCCCTTTTATGTTCTGCTATTCGTTTATTAAAGTTTCTACCAGTTTGACCGATGTAAGTTTTTGGGCAGTCGACACATTTAAATTTGTACACACCACTGTGTAAGTGTCTTTTATTTTGGCTCTTGTTGTTTTTGATATATTTGCCTAGGTTGTTATGTGTTCGGAAAGCTGGTATTATTCCGTTCTTGTTTATGTGTTTGGCTATTTTTATTGATATTTTGCCTGTATATGTAATCGAACAGAAGGTACTGGGTTTTTTCTGTGGTGGTGGAAATACTAATTTCAGGGTTTTCTTGTGTAGTTTTTGATTTAACATTGTATTAATTGTTTGTTCGTTGTATCCGTTGTTTACTGCTATTTTCTTGATGATATTTAATTTTGTCTCAAAGTATTGTATTTTGACATCGGAATTTCTGTTAATCTATGTAACATACTATGATAGGCTGCCAGTTTATGCTGTGTTGGATGGGATGATGAATTGTGTATAGTCGTATCAGTATGGGTAGGTTTATGAAATATGGAGAAGTCATGTTTGTTTTTATAATATTTGTTTTAAGATATAATTCTGAATAACTAACTTGAGACTAACAGTTCTCCCCTCCTCAACCTATTTTATTAGAGACTATAAAGTGTAAATGCATGCCAAAAATAAATTTTGTGGAAGTTTGAAAACAAAGTTTTCAGTATTTTATTGTTACAGAACTATTAAAATTGGATATTTCAATTTAGAGAATTACTTTTTACTTACTCGAGCTTTCATTTGTGGTTACAATTATTTTCAGGAGCTAAAATTTTTACTTTATTAGATGATTTGTATTTTTATTTTAGCTCTTGAAAATAATTGTAACTACAATTGAAAGCTCGAGTAATTGAAAGGTAGTTCTCTAAGAGCCCGTTTTTATTGACCCCATCTACCAATTTCACATTAGAACAAGATGGCAGCAATTAATTTCCGTTCTGACACGTATGGATATTTTGGTTATAAAGGGAAAATAATAAAAAAAATGGTTATATATTATTGAAGTAAAAATCAGAAAAAAAGATACTGAAGAAAATCACTTGTTAGAATTAAAAAACCTCGATCGGTCTATGAGTTTTGTTGAAGGCCTTGATTAAACTTATGTACACAAAAGAATTATTAGATACAGAAAGTCGTCAAATATGAGACTTTGTCAGTGTAAATGATTTGTGTTTGCCAGAATTCTTCCCAGAGATCTGCAATTTAAAATGAATAAAATGTTTTATCGATACTTAACTCTAGAACAACAACGTGAAAGTAAACTGGCCGTAAAGCATAACAAAAGTACATTATTTTTGAAATAAAGTATTTTTATTTTTGGTTATAAACATATATATTCATTAATTTTATTCAAAAATGTTTTTTCATAAGTAGCATATTGAGAAACTTAAAATAAAACTGTGGTACTGTATAAAAGTATAAAAAAATATTTGCGATAGTTTTTTGACAAAATGCAACAACTGAACATTTTTTTATATCTAATGACACATAACAAACCAAAGGATACACTTTTATAAACAAAAAGTAATTTACTTGCAGTCACTGCAAATGCACAGGCGGTGTTCGGCGCAGACCATTTTCGGGCAGTGCTTACCTTTATCGCGCGCTTTTCGGTTTTTGCTTCTTGGGCAAAAGTCACAGCCACCCATTGAACCTTGGAGCTTTTGTTTTATTATTTCTTCATCTTTACAATTTAAAATGTCTTTGATACTGCTGCGGATTTGTCTTGGCAAGTGATTATTATACATTCGTTCTTTTAAACAATGTTAAATCATAATGAACGACAGTTCCTTTGGAAAGTTTTATCGAGCCAGTGGTTTATTAACATTTAGTTTATATATAACGTAATTGTTGACTCCTGCAATATTCAACATGCCATAGAAAGTTCGCAATGGCCATCTGCAAGTTTTTCTGGCGACTGTTGTTAAATGGCAGAGTTGATGAAACGTATCTACACCACCTTTTGTACTATTGTAGAAGAAGATTATCTCTGGCTTTTTCGATTCTTCATGTACATCATATTGAGTATGCTAGACGATAAAAGAATGACGTTTTTATTTTTTTATTGTTTTTTTAGAACGAATGACACTAAGTGTTTTTCTCATCAAAAGCAAATAGAGATGATGAAACTTGTTTCCCTTGTGTTTCAATTAGTTGTGGTATTTCTGGCTTGTTTTTCCTAAGCGTTTCCACTACAGTAAAGCCTTTTTTTCTTAACACTTTCTATATTTGATACGAAGTGAACCAGTTATCTATGGTGCAATTTCTATTGGTTTCATATATATATATATATATATATATATATATATATATATATATATATATATATATATATATATATATATATATATATATATATATATATATATATATATATATATATATATATATATATATATATATATATATATATATATATATCACTTATAAGATGCAGTAGGTACATATTGTGTTGGAATTGAATATTGTGAACAACAGACTTCAAAGACTTTTCCCACGTAAGGCTTGGCATTACACATAATTTGTTTGAAAAATATTTCTATTTTTCATATTAACAGATTTTAAAATTTTTATTTAACTATTAAAATTAATTCACTAAATATGGATGCATTTATTTAAAAATATGAAGGAGTTGATAAAAAATCATACATAGTAGAATCAATCACAAACCTAATGCCTTAATTAATAATTTAATACAACCTCTCAATATAATGTATATGAATATAAGAAGCTGTCAAAAAAATTTTGATGACTTTGTAATTTATTTTATCTGAATGTAACAGATTTCCATTGTGTAATTTTAACAGAAACTTTTAAACAAAATGATTTGGATTTATGTCAAATTGAGGGTTATAGATTAATATACAATTCAGAAACATTTAACAAAAACGATGGTATATCTAATCTCACAGATACAATCTGAATATTAGTATACATCCAGCTCTTTGTATATGTGTAGATTTATCAAAGGTATTTGACACTGTTGCACATAAAATATTGCTAATTAAACTTAAAAAATATGGTATTAGAGGGTTTGCATATAATATCCTAGAAAGTTATCTTCTATAGAGGCAACAACATGTTTATATAGATGGAGAAATTAGTATAGAAAGAATGATATCCTATGGAGTCCCGCAGGGAACAGTCTTAGGAATAATTCTCTTCAATATCTACAGCAATGATCTATTCAGACTGAATATTACAGGTAAGATAATAAGCTTTGCAGTTGGCACAAAAGCCGAAACAGACTTTGGTACAATTCAGGAATAGATTCAGTTTAATAAGCTCACTGTAAATGTAGATAAAACAAAATATGTGCCATTTACATCGTATGTATATAACCTCCCAAATCTTTTACTCATGCATGACTCATTAAAAGTCATTGCAAAAAATGAAATTCCATATATATATCAGATTAAATATCTAGGTATAATAATTGATAAACATTTACGTTAGAATTCTCGAGCAAATAATATATTAGTTACATTAAGAGGGCTATTATCAAGATTTAAATTTTTAAAGCAATTTTTAGGAATAACTGATTTAAGAATTCTCTATTTTGTACTTATACAATCTCAACTTACCTATGCTCTTTTAGGATGGGGTGGAATATTCAATAATTACTTGCATTCTATAAACATTTTTCAGAAGTGGCTAATTAGAATTGTTTATGGAAAAAATTAAAAAATTTAAGATATTCTAGTGAGCTTTTATATATTAAAAGTCGATTTTTAACTGTACGTAATTATTCTGTAACAAAGCCCTAACCCATGCATATACAAGAAAAAAAGATAATAATAAACTTGGACAATCATGCCCAACAAACTCGATATTCAAGGAATAATGGAATTTTACCTAAATATAATAAATCCATACTCAAGAAAAATGTTGGTTACATAGGGCCCAAATTTTACAATTGTCCACCAGAGTTATAAATAAGAAATTAGACAATGGATTAAAAACAAAACAACACAATTCTATGAAGAACTAATTTATGGATAATAGTAATAAATAATAAATATCTAAATAAACTTTGATTAAAAACTACAAATTGAATTTACTGCTATTAATATCACGTACTTACATTTGTGTACTCACAGTTGTGTCACATGTTATAATTAAAATTAATATATTTAATGAAAGTACGCATATGTATCTTACTATTTATATGTATATTATTGTTAAATATTTCTTTGTTTGAATATATATTTTTAAGTCTCACACACAAGGGGTGCTACTTTTATAGTAGCTCTACTTTAGTAAGTTTTATGTTTACCTAGTATTTAATATGTTTTTTGTTGCTTGTAATCTATGTAAGTTTCTAAATAATAGTACATTGTTTACCGGGTAGGAAAAGCTTAACATTCCTGGACGAGTGTGAAGATCGGCTTGCGCCTCGACTTAGCAACACAGAGTCCAGGAATGTGGCTTTTCCTACGAGGTAAACATACTATTTTTCCGCAAATCGTTTAAAATTCGACAGATATTGATTGATTTAAAAAAAAACGCGATAATTTTATTCCCAAATAAATGGTGCTTTGAAATTCCTAATAAAATTACTTGGGTTACTATGGAAACGTATTGAGGTTGAATTGTCAAACTTGACGCTTATGTATGTAGAACCCATCGAGCAATAAGACAAAAGAGGGAATGTAAAGGTAGAAGGGGTAAACATATTGATAGACAGGAAGTGCCATCTTGAGAGGCCACTTTAGACAAGGATAGACAGTCTCTTTCCTTGTTTAAGAAGTCAAATTTAGTTTGGTTATGTTATTGTTTGTCCCAACTGTCACATGAAATTTTATTTATATTGAAGTTTTTTACCAATTATGTCACTTTTTAGACTATTATCGTTAATATTTAATTAAAACTTTCTAGTCTGAAAAATATTTTATAGCTATTGTTAACAAATGTTGGAAAATTTAAATTTAGCGCCTTTGCATTTCCGGATGTGTCCGCCATCAGAGGCCACTTTTTTGGTCTCCTTTTTATAACGATTAGATTCCCTCTTTTGTCTTATTGCTCGATGGTAGAACCACAGAATAATAAACAATCAGAAGGGACACTCTCAGATGCCGCCTTTGAAGTTTTTCAGCACGCGCGCCATGTTTTAGGAGGACACAGACATATGATTTGTGTGGTTATGTAATTGTTTATATTTATGTTTAATTATATTATATTTATGTTATTATATTTAACAATGTTAATATAATTGTATAGTATGTCTATGATCGCCGTAAGTCAAATAAACCTGGTTAATTTTTCCATGCACACCACATAAACAACACTAATTTCTTTAAAATCCTCCTAAAACATGGCGGAACGTCTGCGCCGAGGAGATGCGCGTACTTAATTTTCCGTGGAGAGTGGGTATTCTGTTTGTTTATTATTCTGTGGTAGAACACTAACAACTGTACGGAAATATCATTTCCTTACAGTAAGGAAGTCCTGACTTTTTCTTCAAAAAATTTTGACAGGAATGTCAAAATTTCCTGGCGATTTGCGGAAAATATTATTATTATTATTATCAAAACACCTTTTCCCTCAAATGTTTAATGAATAATTTATATGCTTTAATGTTTTCTTATTATTCAGTAAAATGTATAGATAAATACATATTATATTCATCTTTAGATTTGAATACTACTTAAGCTGTGTGACCATTAAATATAAAAGTAATGTATAAGAGATCTTGATCTGATAAAATATAACTAATAGGCTTCATTACTACCGCGGCTTTCACATTTTTTATCACGTAACACATTACAATTTAATTATTAACTTTATTTCAAAGTAGCTAAGTACGAGTATTAGTATATTATATTACATGTATGTTGCCTAATAATAAAAAATCATGTTTTTGATTGATTTCTGATATTAAACATATTCTCAATAATTATATTTAATCACACTAAGCAAAACAGCATCTCTATAAAGTTTTTGATTTGATATTAAAAGCTTAAATCCTTAAACCATGTAGCCTAGCAATACAATAGGAATGCATTAGCAATACATTAGAAATTTAAAAGATCTTCTCACCACCTGACGTCATGCGCAAACCCTAACGAAATTAGGAACGCTACGTATCATATCTTCCTTTCATTGTATAATTGTATCATGGGTCAGGCTCTAGACTCTGATAGCGGTGAAAAATGACTTATAGTCATTTTTCACCGGTCATCGGCGGCTCCACGTTGTTGTTCTAGGGTTAATATAGCTCTTCATATAAATAATTACCGAAATATTTCAAGGAAGGTAGAGTTTAAAAATATTTTCATATCTATTATGAACCTCTCACTTTTTTGTATTCTTATTTTGACACATTCGTGGCACCCACGAGTAATTACGACTATTTTTAATTTTTTAGTTGTATCAGAAGAAATTGATCTGGATTATTTAACTTCCCACTATAAACTAAGCGAAGTGCATGCAAGCTCATTTTCTCCAGGAAGTCATGGCATCATTGAAATTTTTGTGATATCTCCGATTTTTCAAAGACATGATAAATTTTTTCTGAGAGACATACACCGATTGTGCGATTATTCAATACTGTTTTACAGGCATTCGCCTTACGACAGTTCTGAAGCTTATCGAGAGAGACCACTAGTAAATAATATACAAAACTTGCTTCCAGTATTACCAATTATGCAGCCTGAATTTGATATTGGTCTTTTAAAAAACGAAGGTACAGTATATATTTTAATGTATGTCCATATGATGTTTATTTTACAGCAATCTTATAGAAGTTAGCTACATATAAGTTTTAGCACTCATATCAATTTTCCATTCAATTAATAATACAATAGTCAAATTTTGTGAAAAACTTGGTGAACAGTTTCTGTCAAATTGCACTAGGTAAAAGATCATCGCACCATTTTTGCATGAAAGTGAATCTGTGAAAACATTACATATGTAAGATAATAAGTAAGAGAGAGACAGAAGATAGAGAAAATATATCTCATTTTTATTCTCGAGAGAGGAAGAGATATCCTCTCTCGAGAATAAAAATGTTCCTTTTGTATATATATTTAATATTATATATATATATATAGTTATATATATATATATATATATATATATATATATATATATATATATACAGATTTGGAAAAAAAATTACGGAACATAGGATTTTTAATACAGCTCAAATCCTTTAATGTGCAATTAACCAGTGTAAATTTCAATACAACGTCGCGATGTTTTATAATTAATTCATTTGTTCGACTGGAGTCTCAATTCACGCCGCGATGCTGCCAGTGTAAGTGTAAAAACGAAACCATCGAGCAATAAGACAAAAGAGGGAATCTAATCCTTATGAAAAGGAGACCAAAAAAGTGGCCTCTGATGGCGGACATATCCGGAAATGCGAATGCGCGAAATTTAAATTTTGCGACACTTATCAACAGTAGCTATATAATATTTTTCAGAATGTGTCTTAGACGAGAAAGTTTTAATTAATTATTAATGATAAGAGTCTAAAATGCGACACAATTGTTAAAAAACTTCAATATAAATAAGATTTCATGTGACATTTGGGACAAACAATGACGTATAATATATAGACTACGCAGTCCCCTATTCTCGCTATAGAATCAAGTGTCCGAAAGATCTCGGCTCAAGATTGAAGGTATGTTTATCACAACAGCGGCGTGCTCATTTATATGTTAATGACAATAATTATTTTTTTAATTAAAATTAAATATTTATGATTTCTTTTTGTTCCCGTCTATAAGAGAAATAATTATTTTGATAAAATAGTATGGCATTTTACTAAAATAGTAAGTAAATAACTATCAACAATTTAAAATAAAATTTGCTTGTCACACAAAATGGAGTACGTCCATGATGTTTTCAAACACAAGATCAACTTCGTGATGCTTCGTAAGAAATCATGAACTTCGTGCATCTTCGTATCAAAACAATAAACAATAACAAAGGTATTCATGTTTTGGACACTTTTTAAAGCGTTCACCGAGTCTATATATTATACGTCATTGGGGACAAACAATAACATAACCCAACTAAATTTGATGTCAAACAAGGAGAGAGACTCTCTATCCTTGTTTAAAGTGGCCTCTAAAGATCGCACTTCCTGTCTAACAATATGTTTGCCCCCACTACCTTTACATTCCCTCTATTGTCTTTTTGCTCGATCAACGGAACACACCTAGATCGCATGTCAATTCAACGAAAACGTACTTATTTATAAATGTAGATATGAAAATATTTTATAATTAAAAAAATGGTTATGTTTTATTGCCAAAACGGCTTGAAAAAAAAAGTTGATTTTTAAAATTAAAAATAAAAAGGAATTTTAAAAATAAAATAATTATATTACACTCTTTTTAATTTGAACTTATATACAATATTTGGAATAATAAATGTATTTAAGTATAAATTGTATAACTCAAATAATACCTAATCAACACAAACAAAATTGATGTTAATAAAACATTATTTGTGATCTGCACAAAACCGGACTATGAGGAAAAATATTATTATTTACGTGATATGTTTTGTATTATTTATTAAACTTTTATAATTATTTTAGGCTTTTGTATTTCAAAATAATCACTGTTTGACCGAGAACTGTCAATTTTAAAATCCGTTAGTGTTACGCTGGTGGTTGTGAGTTCGAATCCCAATTATGAATCTCCTTTTTTATTTTTAAAATATTTTAAAACCTCACGTTAATTTTTTTAAGTATATGTAATATACGCAAAAATGCTAAATTTTAAAATAAAATGAAAATTTACAACATAATCCGAGTTGTTGGTTTTTTATTTTTATCTTCGTAAAGTAAGCTTTGTGTATTGGCAGTTTTAAATACTTATGAATATTATATTTTAATTTATATTGTATTATTATATTGAATTATGTTGCAGTGTATTTATTGTATTGTAATTTTTATATTAATAACAAAATAAACAATGAATTTTACTGCAGAGTATGTGTAAAATTTTTTTTTGAATTCAACTCCTTTTATACATATATAAAAATATATATTTTCATTAAAACATTGATACAATCCTTCATTTACTATACTCCTATTAAAGATTAATAATATTTATAATACAGCAAACGATGCACCATATACCTATGTAACTAATTCTTTCTCTCTTTCTGCTCTCTCTTACCTATAGCATTACATATGTAATAATTGTGCAGATTGACTCCCATATAAATTTTTAACGGCGAACGCGTGTATAGAAGTATAACTTCTACCGGCAGTCCCACTGGACTGCCACACCCGTTTTTTTTATATAGTGTATATACGACCTTAAAATAAAAATAAAATAAAATCTTATGTTAAAAGTATGTATAAAAGTATATCGCAATATAAAAAACATGTTCCAGTTACCCTAGTAACAGGTTCCACTCAGTAAAGACGAAAATAGTTTTATAATTTAAAATATAGCTTCCTATAATGTTTGTAAATACCTTTTTCTGTATATCTTTTATAATAACGACACCCTATATATGTACTATAAAACTAGTTCAGTTAGGCTGTCATTTGACATTGCATGGCAAGCTACCCCAAATGGTTTGATGACTATACAACTCTATTTCCAATACGAAGAGTTTATATTTTTCTTTTATGTATTGTAAGGATCATTCTGCCTACGACATTGGGACCATTATAGGGGGTTGAAAATTGGGGACAGAAATTACAGGGCTAGAGAAAGGGGAAAGCAAAACAAACCGAAACATTTGCGAACGGCTACTTAGGGTTTTTTGGAGAGCTGGACCGCAGATAAGTGAATTACAATGGGACTGAATGGGGTAACTACAAAAATGAATCAAAAAGGGGTACTTACATGAATCTCCTGGACAAACACAATACAAGAAGGTTCTTAAGCTATTTAAAATAAGATCGCCGCTTAGAAGAATCTTCCTGCTGGGTGGATAGATAGAATTCTCTTTCCTTAAGAATATAAAAAAGGGTTAGAGACTTGTTAAAGGAAATAATACTCTTTTTTAGGGAAAAAATTAAATATTTATTGCTGTCTATCCACAAACAGTTACAAATAAAAATAATAATACAAAATAACACAAAACAAACTTACTATGTTACTATAGGTTTACAAACTCTTAGAAGTTGGATATACTATAAGAACTTACAATTGTTAATGGGCGATATTTTGTAGCAGAAATAAATTCTTACAAATGTAAAATATCTTTTTAAATGGAAATTTGCATAAAATTTAGTTTATGGTTGGATATGTACCAAATGTCAAGAAATGTGACAGCTTAGCCACTCCCTAACATTTATGATTTTACTTATTATGATAACAATTTCTTAACTTGTCATGAGAGCAATTATTGATGGAAAATGTCTATTTTTACTTTAAAAGTTCAACAACGAAGTTACCTGAATTTCTCTAAATATTTTTTTCTTTAAAATTTCTGGGTTTGGAACTGGACTCAATTTCACTGCAACACAAACAACTGCGTAAATAGGTAGTCTGGAATTACTTGGAACAAACAAAATGAGGGTGGAAGCTGAGCACTGGGACGCAATCTTCAAAACTCGGCTTTATGAACACTCAAGCTTTGCCACAGAATAATAAACAATCAGAATGTCCATTCTCTGATGCTTTGAAGTTTGTCAGCACGCGAACGCCATATGTTAGACGGAAACATAGACTCAAATTGAGAAATTTATGACAAGCTACGACAGAACTGTAATTTAAATTTTTAGAGATTAATAATTTAGTACATTTGAAATCAGTTAGTTTATTCTTCAACTAAAAGTACGAATAAAATAGTACATATTATGTCTGTAGTTGCCGTAAATAAATTAAACCGGGTTTATTTGTCTATGCACACCAAATAAAATGTCACTGAACAGCACTAGTTCCGTTTAAAACATGGCTGATTTTGTCTGCGCGAACGAGATGCGCATACTTATTTTTTTAAGCAGAGTGGTCATTCTGATTGTTTATAATTCTGTGTCTTTGTCTGTGTAAATACCTTAGGCGAGAGACGGTACGAAACGAAACAGTGATTACTCTTATTTAAATCGATACATTACATTCGAGTATAATTCACTTTTTTCACAAACAAAATTGATAGTTGTTTTTGAAGATTACATATAACCTCTTACCCCGTCAAGATATCTAACCCAACTTCACTTTAACTGCTTCTTCTGCTAGTGCCTATCCTCTTTAGATGTTGGCTACCACAATCGCCCATCGTATTTTATTAGTAGCTGTTCAAAATATTTCTGTGGTGGTCATACCTACCTACCTAGCAGTCAACTACTACATACTACCAAACTTCACTATTTCCGAGAACAAAAAAACAATAAGGAAAAACGATTTCGAATTAGATTCGGACTGACACTGAAACCAACAGCCTTTGACAGCGGCCTCACTAAGAGTCATTTAATTATCTTTAAAATTCATTCGCCCAACTCGACATTAACGAAAATATTTTATTTATTTGACGAGCAAAATATCCTAAAGCGGCTTTAGATCAAATAATACTAAGGAAATACGCATCTGTGATGAATAAAAAAACTTTAAAATGTGTTTATTATAAATTCCTGCGATGGAAAAGGATTGAAAATACTTTTTCGGTGTTTTATTATATACCATAGGAAATAGAAATATATTGAAAAGATTCTTCGGTGTACAGTAGACACTGTACAAAAATGTACAGTATTAACATAAATTAGTATTCAAAGATTGTTCTAACCTAAGTCAAAATAATCGCTTTTAGAGCAAATCTTTTGAAAAATTAATAATAGGATAATTAATACTAACCTTTTACAACTATTAGAAAATGATATTTTAAATTAAATACAAATATTATAATAAACCCAACTTTTTTCACTGTAACAATACTATTTTAGGTTGTAGCTTCTCCACGCAAAAAATACTGATCTATTTTGATTGCAATTGTAATTAATACAATTTGTAATAATAATACATATTGTTATAGGTAACTGTTCATATTGTCTTTCAAATGCGTAGAAAGTACACTTCACTACTAAGTGATGTACTGTTAGATCACTATCACACGCGCAACACAAAGGCTTGGGTTACTTCTGTAGTAGGAAATCATGTGTTATCTTGGTATGTCCTAATCGTAGTCTGGACACGAAGTTGTTAAGATTGTGACCCGAATTTCCTTTGACATGAGTTTCTTGCAAACATAGGATGAATTCTTGCCAACATATATGAAATTTATTTATAAAAATTTTAAGATCTTCTAAATGGATATGGTACCCATTTAGGTTCCATTAAATAATAGAATTAAAAATAGTTTAATTAATAAGTCTGAGGAGAGGAGTCGCTAGGTTTATCGGTAAAAGTATTACTTAAAATTTGTTCTGTAATTTTGTTTTTAATTCTAGAACAACGGGATTTAAGATATCTTGGACTTAATGTATGTTCTTAAGAAAGTCTATTAATCTCTCGATATCTTCCGAGTAAGTTCTGGTGACACTTAGAGGATCTGTAGAACCATGCGCATTTTCAATGAAGTCAATAAGTTCTTCCTGTGTAATCTATGTTTTCTTTGAAGAATTGACTGGTGCATTTGGTAAGATCTTCTACTAAGTTTCTGTTGTTTTCTTGTTGAATTTTTGGTTTTTTGATTCGTGGCTTCGGTTCAGAGAAGGCATTTTCGTTATCTCTTATTGGGGGAGATATTATTTCAGATAGGTTTTGTTCGGGGTGCTGGGATAAAGATGTATCTTGTTTAAGTATCCATTTGAGTCTCATTGGGTAGGTCGCAGCTTATCGATGTATGCTCATTTGATTGAGAGGTAATGATTATTTTAGACATTTTAGCCTCAGTAAGAGAGCATTGTGTAGAGGATTTTAGCTAAAAATGAGCTAATTGTTGTACTGTAGTTTCAGTCACAATAGTAGAAGATTGTGTAGAAGAAATTATCGAAAGCGGAGCTGATTGCTGTACTTCTTGTAGAGAATTTAGATGAACAATATTTTGGGTGTTGTTTAAAGAAGTCTGATTATTTTTCTTGGGACACTGAGATGCAAAATGGCCTTGCTGCTTGCATAAGTAGCAAGATTGCTTTTCGATGGAAAAGAAAATTCAATAGTTGTTATCCTCATGGTAAATTAATCTAAATCTTCTTCTTCATGTACCATGTCCTTTCAGAACGTTGGTTACCATCATAGCTATTTTAATTTTATTCACTGCCACCCTAAATAGCATGCTTGTATCTACTCCATACCAATCTCGCAAGTTCTTCAACCATGAGGTTCTTCTTCGTCCTGGACTGCGTTTGCCTGCTATTTTTCCTTGCATGATATTTTGTAGTAATCTATATTTGGGACCTCTCATTACATGTCCGAAATATTCCAGCTTTCTCTGCTTGATGCTTTTTATGATCAACTATGTTAGTTGGCCCTATAAAAGTGTATCGTCGGAAACTCAAGATATGCTTAAATTCTGGATTTGAAGTTCCTATAGTGAGAAAGTCAATTGAAGTTATTAGATTAAATTTTTCAGTTGTTTTTCTATAACGCTGTGCAGAATACTTGGACATGAGTTGGAAATTATAAATCGTTCATTCGGAGTTATTAGTCTTCAGTCTTGAATACGTTCTTGATTAATTACTACAATTTCATTGTCGTTTGCTAGAAACTCATTGACTGTCTGTTCACTGGTAAAGAAGATACAAATACAATCATTTATAATTTTAGAAATAGAATTTATTTTTCTGGGATCCACTTTAGAAGTTACTGCATTAGGGTAAACTTCAATATTACAGTTTGGGAGTTAGTGGAAAAGAATTGTTTGTTTTTTGTTTGGAAATTTATTTGTAGATTGATTAAGAACTGTAGAATATAATTTTGATGGTTTATTTACAATTAGATTACGAGAAATTTCCATGTTCCAAGTTCCCGCTGCTGAATCCATTTCCATGCTTGGTTTAAATATCCTGAATACGACCCTGGTGATTATAATGGCTCATTATCGGAAGAACTGGTAATTAACCTCACGCCAAATCGGCAAAATACACTTCTAGTGCAAAATAATCGATTCAGAATTATTTTGTGAAAGTACGTCTCCTGTTTCAATCTAAAAAGTGTAAATTTAAAAATATTTAGTGTAAAATCATTAACCTCATTATTGGGTTTAATCCTCATTTTTTGGTGAATTGGATTACATTACGAATAAATAATACAACACGTGGAGAGGTGTCAGAATTTGACTCATTGTAATCGATGCACCGACTTAACGCGTTCGGTTAATATCGTACGCATCAATTTCCATAGCAACCCACTAATACATTAGCCAATTAAGTTTGCAACTGCCTTATAAATGGATACCACATCCGTCAACGCAACTCAAACAGTAGCATTATTGAGAGAAGGCCTGAGCCAGAGGGCCGTGTCAAATCGACTAAATTTAAGCCAATCTGCTGTGTCCCGAGTATATCGTCGGTACCAAGATACTTCTATTATATCCGTCGACAAGGAAGAGACCGTAAACGAATAAAAACGAAGAGAAATTATCGATTTCTTGTATCGAAATCCCTGAGAGATCGACATTTGAGTGGTGCTAAACTCAAAGAAGAGCTTAGTGAGGCTCGAGGTGTGTTGACCACCGTTTGTAAACTCAGAAGGAGATTAAGGGCAGCCAACCTGACACCAAAAAGGGCAGCTATGGATTCCAAGCTAACTGCAGCCCAGAAACAAAGGCGATTTGAATTTGCTCGCGAACATCTGGATTGGGACGACTATCAATGGAGTCAGGTATAGGAGGATCTGTCTACATGGCAACGACAAGAGACGTCGAGTCTATGGAGGGCCAGGAGAGCGATTTTCTCAATTTTGTATACGGGAAATTGTGTCATGAAGGCGGTTCTTGTATGTGTTTTGCAAGCAGTTTTATGGATGGGAAAACCGCGTTGATTTTCGTGCTTGGTGGAGGACATGTAGGAGATTTAACGGCAGATCGTAACATCAGAGACATTTTGGAGGAACATGTTTTGTTAGTTCCAATGATGAATATTTAGAAAACTCTGTTTGTATTGCATATTGTTTTTATAATGCGTCTTCCAAATAATGCACTAGTGGTTTTTGTAAGTTCAATAATAGAGTTATTATTATTTTATTTCCATACTTCTTACATCGAAACAAAAAAAGTAATCTCAAACATCACTTTTGAGTCGATTATTTTGCTCTCAAGTGTAGTTGTTTACCCCTGATTTGTTATAGATGAAATAAAAAAATCAAACTTACACTTTTTACATTGCACCTTTGTTTAAATTTAGATATAAAAAATTCTACATTTGAATCAAAAAATTCGTTATTTTGTTCAAACTAACAAGCTAATATTAAATATCAGTTATCGCTAAATGCTAATATGTTTAACTGTTCGGAGGTTCGATCGAAAATCCAATAGTTATTTTTGTTTTATCAATTTTTGTTTAATAACGTTTATTTATTTTTTCATTTTTTTTTTTTTTTGTAGATTAGTTTTAGTATTTGTTTTGTATATTTTCAATGTTAATTCCTGTACCATTATATTTTTATATTACCCAGTCCCTTGTTTTCTCTTTATTAAACAGTTAAGTTATTAATTGCCTCATTAATGAACAATATAATTTAAAAAAAAAATTACAGCCTAATTATAATCTATTCACAAATTTCTTTAATGTAAACTACATTTTTATTTATTTTATTTTAGAATGTGCTCCATCTGACGTAGTAACTGACAAAAAAGAACCATTTGCTTTATATGTATCCACGGTTAATCTGTCAAGTCTTTCTCGGCAAGTGATAAATACAAAAATAGTAATTGTTGGTTGCAGTCACACAGCTTTGTCATTTATACAGAGTTTACTGTTCAAACAAACTACTAATCAAATGGTAAGATACAACAAATACAACATTTAAACGGTTTAACACTTTTTTTATGTTATCATTTAACTATTTGGTCCCCGATAAATGTCAAATTCAGGACTAACCTACGTAACATTTTTTCACCCATGTTTTACTAATTTATTACCACCCTAATAATGTTTCATCACCAAACCAACCTTAACCCTATAACGCTGAGCGTGACGTTTTCGTAACGTTTGATAAACACTGGTCTTATCATGGACGTATCTTTATTTATACGTCCATGGGTCTTATGCACAAAATAACCCATGTAGGACGGCTACGCCGACGGGATCGGTATTGTTACATTTCAGTGAAAATATAGCAAACCCGTTTTGATTACGTTCGCGCGGCACATTCACGTGAGATGTTTCTGTTTGACAGTGCACTAATGAAAAGTTAGGTTATAGTGTACTGTGGAGTGTTTATTGTTATAAATTGAAATCAAGCAGCATATGAACGTTGGATTTTTTTACATACTTCTAGAAGGACGATTATCGTTTGGCGAAGGTAATATGTGCTAAAATTAATTATTTTTCTGTATTTTTATTGAAAATTTTAAGCGTTACGAAATTGCCACTCTCGTCTTTTGGATTTTTTTAGATTGATCAAAATAATTATGGATTGTGCAGCGTTTTATGACAAAAAACGTCTTCCCTTAATGGATGAGAGTAGTACAGATACTGTAGATGGTTCTGATATTAATTTCGAGGATTTGGGTAATTATTTTTATAGTTCTTTTTATAATTTTCTAGTCATTTGTATTGACTGCTTTGTCTCTTTGTATTATAGTTTGAAATGACTCATTTATACTCTTTTTTTATTATAGATGAATCTGACGATAGTACTGAAGAAAGTGAAGCCAGTGGAGAAACAGTAGCTGCACCATAAACATTAAAATCAAAGAGTCGTAAAACCTATCCACTTTGGCGACATGTGTCAACTAAAGATTCTGCTAAACCACTTCCTATATGGTTAGGTCAACTAGAGCCGTCTGGAGTTGTAAAACGACCTGTGGAATATTTTAGAATTTTTTTTTCGGAAGATATTCTGACGCACATAGTTGAGCAGTCAAACTTGTATGCCATTCAAGAAAATCCCAATAAAAGTCTGTCATTGTCAATTCCTGAATTGGAACAATTTTTAGGGTCCTTATTGGCAATGTCCATGGTAAAACTATCCAACTCAAGATTGTATTGGAAAACTAAGTTAAACTGTCCAATTGTATCGGAAGTAATGACCAGGGATCGGTGAGAAGAAATAAAATCCAAAATCCATTTTAACGATAATTCGACAATACCAGAAGATAATACCACATATGACAAACTATTCAAAATAAGGCCATCGATAAATCATTTACAGGCGAAATTTAGAGAAATTCCAAAGCCTCAAATGTTATGTATTGATGAACAGATAGTACCATTCAAAGGCAGATCTAGCATTAAACAATATATACCCAGCAAGCCACACAAATGGGGTTACAAATTATTTGCTCTTTGTGATGAGAAAGGAATTATGTATGATTTTTTTATATATTCTGAAAAAATCCAACCAGTAACTGGAGAACCAGATTTAGGAGCTAGTTCCATTGTGGTACTGCAATTAGCCACTCATATTTCTATAGGTGCAAATCATCTCCTATATTTCGATAATTGGTTTACCTCTCTAGCTCTGATGGTGCATTTGGCAAAAAAGAAAATTTATTGCCTTGGAACAGTAAGGATAAATCGCTTATCGGGAGTTCCTCTAAACAAGGATAAAGATTTACTAAAAAAGGTAAAGGATCCTTCCAAGAAGTCTTGACTCTAGTAGATAATATTGAAGTCAGAGCAGTAAAATGGGTTGATAATCGGGTAGTCAATTTGCTATCAACATTTTCGTCTGCAGAACCTACTGAAACATGCGAGCTATATGACAAAAAGACTAAACAGAATATTACAATTACCTGTCCAGCTATTGTCAAATACTATAACCAATTTATGGGTGGAGTGGACCTAATGGATTAATTGCTCTTTACAGAATTCATATTAGATCTAAAAAGTTCTATCACAAATTGTTTTTTCACTTTTTAGATGTTACTGTGGTAAACTCTTGGCTCATTTACAGAAGAGACTGCGAATCCTTACAGGTACCTAAAAGAAACATAGTTAATCTCCAAGAATTCAAAATAAGCATTGCAGAGACACTGCTATTGGAAGGGAAAAGAACCCAACAATCAAAAAGGGGGTCGTCCATCAAAAACCAGCACAGATGCAGAATTTTCAAAAAAGAAGAAGCTAGGTCCAGCCACTAAAAGTATTCTGGTAGCAGACATGCGTCTAGATGGGCTTGATCACTTGCCCATGGTCACAGATAGGGGTAGGTGTAAAAATATCAATTGTAAAAGTGCTTCAGTATATATGTGCACCAAATTTAAAGTACACCTGTGCATTACAAAGGAAAAGAACTGTTTTATACATTTCCACACTACATAATAACTTTTATTTTTGTATTTAATTTATAATAAATTGATGTTTTTCAAACATATTATGTCTTTTATATCGATATTTTGCATTACTATGTATGTAAAATTAAGCAAAAAATCAAAACTTTTTAAAATTTAAATCATGAGTTATTTCTAAACAAAGGACTTTTGTGGCGATTTCGTTTCAAAAAAACACCTAATATTTAAAAAAAAAACTGTTTTTTTTTTAATCTGTAAATTAATAATAGCAAAATAAGTAATAAGAAACAAAAATTTTTTTTGAATACATTAAAAATTCGGCGTTATAGGGTTAATGAAATGAATGAATGAAAATGAAATGTGGATTGCGGATACATAACTCCTGTATAATTTCAGAAAATTGAAGCCAACCATCGGGATCGTCGTTGTTTAATTCCTGTTGTAGTTGAATTTTGTAGGGATGGTATTATACGTAATACCGATCGTTGGAAAACTCCAGCATATTCACCCATTTGTGTTGAACTACTGTGAGGATTGTCATGTACCGGGTGGTCCAATAAGCCGATCTCTCGGCTATATATCAGAAACTATGCATGTTATAATTTTAGGAGAAAAAATTTCTTAGTAAAAGTGGTCAAGAGAAATCGCTGGAAATAACTTTCAAGTTTCTGGGTTAACCGCTAGGGGGCGTAACCTGTGACCACTTTTACCAAGGAATTTTTTCTTCTAAAGTTATAACATGAATAGTTTCTGATATATAGCCGAGAGATCGGCTTATTGGGCCACCCGGTACATTTAATAAAATATCAAGTTTCACATTGTCTTCAATTTTAGGACGCACGGCGTTTGGATTGATTGTTTTGTTTTGATTGGCTGATAGGTCTGTCTGGATATTTTGAGTCGAATAAATTGCATACCTCGTTCTGTGTTCTTTTTTATCTCCGCATCCGTTAGGAATATTTTTATGCGTTGTGTTTCATTTAAAGTTAGTATTCAAAAGTAAAAATTACAATTGACAACTGATGACAATTCACAAAATCAAAACATTTGTGTCAATATATATTACAGTAACTACAGCCACTATCACTTGCTTGAATTAACATTTGACAAAAAGTTTCAGTGTTTATGAGATAACTTTTTGTGTCCATTATTATTTTGACTTATTTTTGCTTTTTTAAGTATTTACTTCAGAACGTCATGGCAGGAACCGATGGATGGCATTTCAAACATTTAATTTAAAATAATTGTTATGCATAATTTGGTTACTTTAAAGTACATTATGAATTAAATCATTAGTTGTAATAAATTAGTTGAATTTAAATTAAAAAAAATTGTTTTTATACGCTTAAAACAATATTTTAGTTAAAGATGTAATGCTAAATAGAGAATTAAATTTTCCTTCAAATAAGTTGTGGCATTATACCAATTTCTATTTAAAAAAATTAACGGTTATGTCACTACACCCACACCGATGACGTCATCCCTACTCCGTCATGTACGTTATAAGACATGTATTTTATAAAAAAGTCGACCTGTTTCGGGATTTCCCTCAAAACTCGACGGTTCTCGAAATAATAATAAGATTCCATAATTTAGCCGTTCACTATATATCTGAGTTGACAATTTTTATTATTTGTTGTTTTTAAAAGATTTTGTAGGATAGGTTTTTTTAAATATAGATTGACAATATTCTTGTTGTAGGTTACATATAATAATATTACCATGGTATGTCCAAATGGGTTATCGCACAAAAAAATATCAAATAAAATTAAAGAAGGATTTATGGTAAAAAAGAATTTTATGGATGCAAGATACATGGACATGATAAGTCTAAAAACATATGTCAATTTTGTTCTTGGGAAAGTTACAAAAATAGACAGGTACTATTTTTTGGATCATTGTTATTTATTCACCGTTCTGGGTTTATTACGTTGGCGTATAAGGCACAAAGAATAACAATGGTGTAAATCAACTAGGGTGAATACACCAATAACCGACCACGACCATGCACCAGTTACCGACCTGTCTTCAAACAAATATTAAAACTAAGAAAATCTTAGAACGTTCAGAAATTATTGCACCGCCCACGTATACTACGTGGCTTTAGATGTGTAGGGAGGTTTCGTTTACTTATTCAAAATCTGTTCAAAGCAAGTTTAAGGAAGTGGAAATTTTGGCGTATTCGCTCCGTGGGTGTCCCCTCTATTTACAGTCACGTGACACGCTGTCAGATTTGTGAGGACGTTTTAGTATTGAGTCTTATGGGAATATTTTGTTAAACTTAAATATTTGATTTTGTAGTGTTAATATCCGGATACAATTTTTAGAATTAATTAGTTATTTATTTATAGTGACATTTATAGTTCAACAAAAATATTTTTTGTCGTTAATAAAGATTTATTAACATAATCTGCGAAAGTGAGGTTATATATACATGATCAACATCCATGATACAATGAATATGTTCATTGTACGATTCACAAAAGCGTCCTGATAAAATTTCAAGTAATCACCACCATGAGCAGGTCAGTCGATTTTGCTTTGACACTTTGTTAACCCTCGGAGCGAATTGGTAATACTGCCAATAAGTTAAATCTATGAGCGTGCAACTAGATGTCCATGAAGGTGAGCAATTTTTATCTAATTATATCGAATGTTGTTTTAACTTGTTTAATGTTGAAATGTGATGTTACTCATTATAAAATTGTAATAAATACAGGTAACTTGTTAATTTTCTGAATATCTGTAACTAAGTGATTCATTTATGGTGGTCGCTTTACGGGTCACTGTTGTAAAACTTTTTCATTAGATGACCAGCTGGTCGCTTTCTGGTTTGGATTTGTATCCACGAATGTTTTGTTAAATAGACTGTTGCTAGTAGTACGAATAGGGGACTTTAATTTTTATACGTAGGTAAATCTAATATCTGTCCAATAACCGACCATTGGTCGGCTACTGGAGCAAAATGATGGTCATAAATTGGTACAGTAATCAAATTATTTATTTTAGATACCTAAAAATTATTCTAAAGACGATTTGGTCAATGCTATTAATGAAGTTCATGAAGGATAAAAAATACGGGAAACTGAGAGGAAGTAGAACATTCCACATGTCACATTTATGAACAAATTAAAAGAAAAAACATCTTTGGATGCTAGAAAGGGTCCTCCAACCATTCTAACTTCAGATGTTAGTAGGTCTATCTTTTTAGTAAACATGTATATTTATATAGAATTTTCTATTGATTTGTGCGTAACCCTTTTCCCGTTTTGCAGGAAGAAAACCTATTAGTTTGTTGATTGAAGGGAATGGCCAAAATAGGAATACCGAGTAAACCAAGACAAGTAATTGATGCTGTTCAAGAGGTAATAAAAAAAGATCGACGACTAAGTCCATTTACTCAAGAAAGACCTGGAAGAAAGTGGTTAGATCTTTTTTTAAGAGACAACCAAGTATTTTACTGCGGAAACCTAAAGCTCTTGGTTTACCAAGAGGGTTGGTAACTGAACATGCAATTAGTAAATGGCATCAGAACTTGGAAACTTATATAATGGAAGAAACTGAAAATAGCGATCTGCTAAAAGATCCTTCCAGAATTCTCCATGGGGAGAATCGGATTTTCGAACTAACTCAGGAACCTCTTTAGTTATAGGTCCCAAAGGATTTAAAGATCTGTATCAGGTTCGAGGTACTCATAAGAAATGTATTACGGTAATGGTACCATTTACAGGTAGTGGAAATATGGCACCTCCTTGCATCATTTATCCATATGAAAGGATACCTGCAGAAATTAGTAGAAACTTAAATCCTAGCTGGTCATTAGGCAGATCTAAAAGTGAATTAATGGCTTTACAAGTGTTTTAGTCAATGGACATAGATCGTACATAAGCTTTGAAGTTGCTACTTTTTGTAAGGAAAATGGTATCATCTTGTATTCATTGCTGCCCAATGCCACTCATATTTTACAACCAGCAGACGTTTTAGTATTTCGTCCGTTTACGGACGAAAGTTTAAGTTTCTTGGAAGAAACTTGTTTCAGATTGGTTGAATAAGACTGGAGCCAGGGCTGTCACACGAGCTAATTTCGCACCATTAATTGAAAGTGCTTTACAAGCAGCAAACGAAGATGTCTTGAAGAATGGTTTCAAGAAATGTGAAATCTTCCCTTTTGATAAAAAAAATATTGATTACAGTCACGAAAGTAGAACAGTTGACAAACCATGCCAATTTAATACTGAACATTTACTCTTTCTAGAGTCAATGCTCCCTTCTTTACGTGTTCGTCAGTTCCGAAGCAGTGGCCAAAAATGAGATGGTGGTGAATCGGCCAAAGAGCTATTTGATGCTTGGTTTAAAGTCAAACAACATATTTTGAATCAAGCTAAGCTCACTGCAGAGCCCTCTGTTTTTTTTTAAAGTGTTTACCCAAACCGATTTGATATTCAATGTTGTTCAAAATCAGTTAACGGACATTATTCATTCCAAAAATAGAATAACAAAACTGGTGTCAAATCTCAGAGATTTTTGTAATGATAGTACTCGTATATACGCAGTGACGTTTTGGACTCGCTTAATATTTCCGAACCCCCCCAAAAAAAAAGACAAAGGCCTGACACCGAAACGGATCTCGGAAAACGAGTATATTTTGAAATTTTGGATAACATTATTATGCAAATAGATACTCGTTTTTCAAATTTTGAAGATTTGCAAATTTTTGACCTCTTTGATGATTCAAAATTTTAAAGTTACGCCAAAGAATTTCCAAGATATTTATTAGACGGGTTAATTAAAAATTATCCATCATTCCTTAATAAAATAAAATAAAATAAAATTAGAAAATGAATTAAAAGTTTTATATGCTGATCCATATATTTTCGGAATGTAGGATAAGTTACAAGATATGTACAAATTTATATATTGCAATTCATTACAACAAACTGTTTCCGAAATTAATAAATTATTGTCATTCATTCTCTCATTACCACCAACGTTTGCCTCAAATGAAAGAGATTTCTCTTGTCTCAAAAAAATCAAAGCGTATTGCCGAAACACCATTGAAACAAAAAAGAATGTTAAGCAATAGGTCAATAAAAAAAAAACTTTTAAAATCTCTCCAAAACTCTAATAAATTTTACAATGACGTACCATTTTACTTTTAATTTTACTCATTTTTAATTTTAATTTTACCCATTTTGCTACTTCCAAACAACGTAGACTAGAGATAATTTATAAACATGTTTAGGTTCTAAATTTATAGGAAAAAACAAAAAAAAAACAAACAAAAAACAAAAAAAAATATTCTTCTATGATGATTGAAGTCTTTTTATTAGACAGTACACCTATCTGAGGAAACAAAAAACCTTGCCGACCTTGTCTCTAAAGGCACGAGCCGCCACTGGTGTCATCATCATCAATTAGCCTATATTTGTCCACTGCTAAACGTAGGCCTCCCGTAAAATGTTTCACCTATTTCTATCTTGAGCTTCTTACAACCAGTCTGTGGTGATGCGCTTGATATCATTCGTCTAGTTGGTGGTCGTCCTCTGCTTCGATATGCCTCTTGCCTTGGTCGCCATTCCAGAATATTTTTGTTCCATCTATCATCCGTTAATCTGGTAACATGTCTGGCCAAGCCCATTTAGCCATGGCTATTTTTTCAACTGCATCTCTGACTCCTGCTCTTCTTTTTTCTAGGTTTGGTACTTTATCTTTGATGGTAATACCTAATATTGATCTTTCCATAGCGCGTTGTGTAACACTTATTTTCTCTATTGTTCTTTTTGTCAGAGTCAGTGTTTCTGTACTATATGTAACAACCGGTAAAACGCATTGGTTAAAAACCTTTCTTTTTAAACAAACTGGGATAATACACTTGAAAATGTTATTCAATCTATCAAAGGCTCAAAGCCCATGTGAGACATATCCTTCTTTGTATTTTAGTTGTCTGATTATCTCGGCCTAAGCGAATCTCATGCACTAAATATTTTTGTAAGCTTACTTGGTCGATGCTATGGCTCTCAATCAGAATTTTGCCGCTGACTACAAGGTTGGTCATAAATTTTGTCTTTGAGGTGTTAATTTTAAAACCAATTGTTTTTGGCACTTTATAGAGCGTGTGCAGCATTTTTGTAGCTTTATCAACTCTATCAGATATTAAAACGATATCATCGGCAAATCTTAGGTGGTTCAGATCTTCCCCATTTATATTAATTCCCATATTATCCTCTCGTTCCATTTGCTTGAACATATATTCAAGAACAGCTGTAAACAATTTAGGGGAGATAAAATCACCCTGTCTAATTCCACATTTTATTCGAAACTTCTTGGTATCTTCATGAAGACGGACACAAGATGTACCAGTTTCGTAAATACTTTTAATTAAGGCGATATATCGGTAGTCAATGCGGCAGTCAGTCAATGCTCGAAGCATTTTATGATCATCTATAGTATCGAACGCCTTTTCATAATCTACGAATATAAGAAAGATAGGCTTGTTATACTCTGTACACTTTTTTATTAGCGTTTTTATAACTTGTAGATGATCATTTTGTCCGTATCTGGAGCAGAACCTAGCCTGTTCACAAGGTTGGTAACTATTCGGTTTGTTCACAAGCCGTTTTGTTATTATCTTCATAAATAGTTTGTATGCATGGGAGAGCAAACTAATAGGTCTGTAGTTCTTTAGGTCTGAAATGTCAAATTTTGTATGCATTATGGTTTTTATTGCATTATGCCACTGCGAGGGGGTTACACCTCTTGTCAAACAAGCATTGAACATCTTTTTCAACATATTTACTAACTTTACTCTTCCTTCTTTGATTTGTTCAATGACTATCCTATCTTCTCCAGGTGATTTATTGTTTCATCTCCGAGAGAGCTGATTTTATTTCCTCTGTTATAATATCTGGGATGTCTTCTGAGCCTATATTTTGATATTTTGGTATTTGATTTTGATCAGGATCTAGATACTGGTGCATCTAGAGTTAAATAACAAGTAAAACAATTTTTCGCTTTGCCTTCTTTTTCCTATCAGTTTAAAGCGATTCCGTAATTAATTCATAAATTCGCGGAAATTATTCATAATCTACATGTTCAAACGATCATAGTCCGGCGGAAATTAGCTAATTTACACCACACATTTCAGAAAAGAGCAATATATAATTATCAACAACGACAGTTTTCTGCCCTATGACATGTTATTTCTAATGATTGGGGAGCAATTCCAGAAACCTACAAGACCAAATAAAATTCCTTTCCAAGAAAGTCCAGATAATGTTTTTGTTATCAATAATGCTTTAGATGCCAACCAAGCAGTTACCAAATTAAGACATTTGTATCACAAAGGCAACGACAGGAATTGTGAGTTCTTACTCTTACTCTTCTTACACTAAAAACATATGACCTTTTATTTTTTTGATTTTTGTTCTTTAGACGTCATTATTATCTATGGCCATTTCCTCCAGGCGCATGCAACCATAAACGGTCTTATAAGTTTTGGAATTGGTGGACACCATCTGGTTCTGGTGGAACCGTTTCCCTACAGCATGGCTTTAGAAAAACGTCAAAGACACAACGTGTCGGTATACAACAATCCTGAAATAGATGCTGTTGTTTATGATTGCTTAAGAGAAGAAGGTGTAAAGGTAAGACAAAATATTTATTTACGTTTTAAAAAACGTAAGTTTAGTAGATAATATTATTTTAAACATTTGGTTATCAATTATAATATAAGTTAAGGTTATCAATTATAATATAAGTTAAAATGGAGAACTTATAGCTGATCTCTGCTTTTAACGAACTGAGAATTAATAATACATTTTTCGTCCATAAGCTCCAGTATAAATATACATTTAAAAACTCAGGGGTATAAATTTATGATTGATTTTATAGTCACTAATGGAAAAATCCACCCAAATCAAATTCTAGATATCCGAACTTTAAACTCAGCAGACGCAGGAGTGAACACAAACTAGTACTAGCAAAGATAAGAATGAAAATAACACCAAAACAAAATTTTCTACAGGAAATCACCGAGAAAAAATTCAATGTAGAATCACTGTGGAACAACTTTACAATAGAAATGTACCAAAGGAAGCTAGCATAGAAGATACAGCTAAAATAAATAGACGACATCCAAGATATAAACGCGAGCTGGGAGAAAATTAAAAACAACAGTGAAGAAGCAGCAACAAAAGCTCTTGAAAAACGCAAAGTCATACTGAACAAAAGAAACAATAATACACCATGGTTCAGAAAAGAAATAAAAGAAAAATGTAAAGAGAAACCAGAGGCCTACATAAAGTACAAAACATCAAATACCCCAGAATCCCTAGACAACTATAGAAGAATACGAAATGAAACAAAGCAGTTGGTAAAAAGAATCAAAAATGAACACTGGACACAGTTTACAAAAAAAATGGAAACAGAATTGAAGGAATACAATAACGTACCAGTAAACGAATGGGAAAGATACCTGACGGAACTGTTTAAAGCAAAGGAAAATATTAATCAACACAAGAAAGTACCTGAATTAAGACACGAAATAGAAATCAGTTTTCAGGAAGTAGAAACAGCCATAAATTGACTCAAAAATGGCAAGTCACCAGGACCAGACGGAATAACCAACGGGCTTTTAAAACACGGAGGAGAAAGTATAACCTTATAGATGACCAAACTTATACAAAAACTAATATTGCACTGCAAGATACCAGACGCATGGAGAAACAGCATAATGATACCAATTTTCAAGAAAGGAGATACAGAAGACCCAACAATTATAGAGGTATAAATCTACTGAATACCGCACTTAAGCTTACCGCAAAAGTCCTAACCAACAAAATCAATAAACTAACAACTTTATCAGATGAACAATAAGGATTCAGATCAGGAAGATCCTCCATAGACGCCGTATTTGTACTAAGACAAATCACAGAAAAGGCCATGGAGTACAATAAACAAACAGCATCTATGTTGTATAGACTTGACAAAGGCTTTCGATCGCATCCAAGTCGAAGACATCTTACGCCTACTGTATGAAAGAAACATACCAATCAATATTACACAAACCATCAAAAAGATCTACTTTCATAATCGAATACAGGCAAAGATAAATGGAAAACGTACACAGTATCTACCAGTACAAAGCGGAGTCAGACAGGGTGACTCATTAAGCCCACTTCTCATTAATATAATAATGCACGAAATAATACAAGCAGTTCGTAAAGGTCATGGCTACAGAATGGGGAACAAAGAAATCCAAATATTATGTTATGCAGACGACGCCACATTAATCGCCGAGACAGAAAACGAGCTCCAAAGATTTACACACATCTTCAATACAACAGCCAAGAAATACAATATGATAATATCAGCAGAAAAAACCAATACAACAATCAGTCAATCTTCAATACAACAGCCAAGAAATACAATATGATAATATCAGCAGAAAAAACCAAATGTATGCCAACATCCAAATACCCACTACGGCGTAAAATCGAAATTGATAGGAAAATAATAAAGCAGGAAGCAAGGTTTAGATATTTGGAAATAGTTATAACTAGTTACGGATATTTTAAAGAAGCAGTACGACAACAAAGCTTAAAAGCAAGTAAAGCAGCGGGATCTCTTAATGACGCAATCTGGAAAAACAAACACCTAAGACAATACACAAAAACAAGAATCTATAAAGCTGCAATTAGACCTATATTGGCATACACGGCGAAGACAAGACCTGGAGTGGAACGAACACATCAGTAGAATGGCAGAGAATAGAATAGTAAGAATAGCATGAGAGAAGTCACCAAATGGACGAAGAAGTATTGGCAGACCAAGAAACAGATGTTTCGATAATTTAAACAATTTAGAAAGCTAATATTGAAGAAGAAACAGACTTTAAAGCCTACATACAAGAAGAAAGAAGAAGAAAGTTATCAATTATATAATTTAGATTATTTTTTTTTAAAGTATAGCTTTTCAGGAAGTGCTTCCCTGGGTCCGAAACAAAACTAATGCCACTGGACACATAACCCACACTGCACACTGGACTGAAGAAATGAAAATCGTATCTTATGATTATAGAAAAAACTTTCATGGGACAAAAGAAGTGATTAGTTAGGGTAAAATCACATGAGCAATACTGTTGTACACAGAGCTTATCCCTTTTTAATCCATTGTTAGACACAAGCAATCATATTATAACCGAATATTAAGAAAAGATTAAAGATAAGCTTTACCCATTGATATATCCTTATTTCATATATTTTCGGCTTAGGTACTGCCAAAAAACAAAACATTCTTCTTCTTCGTTCGTATTGGCTTTTAGTTTCCTCAATAATCAGCCAGTACATTATTTGTTTTCTTAAATTTAAGGGCCACTGTCGTGAGTATTGGCAGACAGTAATAACTAACAGATTAACGTCGAAACTCGATAGCTATCAACCGGTAGAGCAGGCAGGATTCCGAAAGAGTTACAGTACAACGGATTATCTTACAGTCCGAACTCTAATAGAGAAAGCCAATAAATATCACTTGAACTTATACATTGGTTTCGTTGATTATGAAAAGTCATTCGACTCCATAGAACTTTGGGCAATAGAGAGAGCTATGAACAACTGCAGGATAGACTTCCGATACAGAATGCTCATACATTCTTCTTCTTGTAGTGCCTATCCGTTTCGGATGTTGGCGACCATCATAGCAATCTGCACTTTACACACTGCTGCTCTAAAAAGATTTGTGGTTGTTGTATTGAACCACGTTCGTAGATTTTTCAGCCAGGAAATCCTTCGCCTTCCTGGTCCCCGTTTTCCTTCTACTTTTCCCTGCAAGATTAGTTGCAGCAGTCCATATCTTTCGCTGTTCCTCATGATGTGACCGAGGTATTCGATTTTAGCTGTTTTTATTGTGGTTAACAGCTCTTTTTCTTTTTTCATTCTCAACAGAACACCCTCATTAGTAACGTGGTCGGTGTACGATATCTTCAGGATGCGACGATAAAGCCACATTTCAAAAGCCTCAATTTTCTTGCAGGTGGCGTCTGTGAGAGTCCATGACTCAACTCCGTACAACAGTATAGGAAAGATATAACATCGTAGTAACCTGATTTTTATGGGCATTGATAAATCATGACATTTGAATAACTTGGCCATTTTTTGAAATGCAGATCTTGCTTTCTCTATTCTACATTTGATTTCTATGGAATGGTCCCAATTTTCATTGACGTTCGTACCAAGGTAGGTGTATGTTTTTTACTCTTTCTATTTGTTGACCGTTTACACTGATTTGTTCAAATTGCTGTTCCTTCTTAGAGATCATCATGCATTTTGTTTTCTTGGTGTTTAGTGAAAGTCCGTATCTCTGACTGACCTCTGTGATTCTGTTCATTAACTCCTGGAGGGCTTCAGAGCTGTCAGCAAATACTACCGTGTCGTCCGCGTATCTAATGTTATTGATTAATTCTCCGTTGATTCGAATTCCGGCTTCAACATCACCCACTGCTTCTTGAAAGATTTCCTCAGAGTATATATTAAACAGCAGTGGTGATAGTATACATCCCTGACGGACGCCACGTTTGATTTTGATGTCGTCGGATTCTCCTGCCTCTGTCCGGATAGATGATGTTTGATTCCAGTACAGATTGCTGACAATTCTTAAATCACAAGTGTTTATTCCAATATTGGTTAGTATCTCCATCAGCTTGTCGTGCTTTACTGTATCGAACGCTTTATGGTAGTCAATGAAGCACGCATAAATGTCGCAGTTCACGTCTCTACATCGTTGGAATAGCACTTGTATACTAAAGAGAGCCTCTCTCGTACCCACTGCATTCCGAAAACATACATAATATTTACAAAAAAGCTACAATGAAAATACAATTAGATACGAAAACCAAAGCTATACCAATCAACAGAGTTCGCCAGGGAGATGTTATCTCACCAAAGCTATTTACACTTGGACTGGACTGGAAGACGTATTCAAAGACATTAACTGGATAGATAAAGGAATAAATGTTAATGTAAGAAAACTGAGTCATTTAAGATAATGTTCATTACAAGTTACGAAGAACTACAGACCATGATGGCGCAACTATTTCAAGCTTCGGAAAAAGTAGGTCTTAGATGAACTTGGAAAAAACAAAAATAATGACAAATATAACGAACATTAGAGCAATAACGTTGAACGACCTAAATTTAGAAACAGTAAGCGAATACAATCTACCTGGGACAGGTAATGAAAGTTAACAAAGAAAATCAAACTGCCAAAATTACCAGAAGAATAAGGTTAGCGTGGGCAGGATTTGGAAAACTGAGTTGGATCTTGAAAAGCACTAAAATAGAACAATATTTGAAAACTAGAATTTACGATCAGTGTATTCTCCCTATACTCACGTATGGTTCACAGACGTGGACACTCAATAAGTCTAATATGGATAAAATAATAAAAGCACAAAGAGCGATGTAAAGATCAATGCTCGGGGTGAGACTTATAGACAATAAACAAACAAATGGATTAGAAGACGCAGGAGAATATGCTGCCAAATTAAAATGGAGCTTCGTAGGACACAATGCCCGACTGAATTATAAGAGATGGAACCACGAAATATAACAATGGAGACCATGGTTAGGAAAGAGAAGCAGAAGAGAGC